CTGTTGCATTTGCTTGTTCTTTTGCTCAATGCTCGGTATGGAGATTGTGAGGGGTACATGGCCGCTATAGCCGGCTGCGGGGATCAGTGTAAATCAGAAAAAACAATCGCTTTTATTTGCAGCACTTACCTCCACTTTTCAAATGATTTCCACTCATTTTTACGGCTTTTTTAGTTTTAATAAGACATTATAAAAATCGGTTTTACTAAAGCAAATCACTTTTATACAAGCATCTTATATGTCTGTTGCTCGGCTTCGAAAAATATGCCACTCTCATTGCAAAATGCAATTAGTGTTTGTGAACCTACTAGTTCAGATTCGTTGGCATATCGATACAACTAGTGCTGGGAAATAACAATCGATAGCGATAGTAGCTTTTGTATTGTGCATTGCGTTCATCTCTATTGTATAAAACAATTACCAAAACTCGCAGAGACTTAAGTGCAACTCCCTACAAAAATGACGTCTATTGCCGGCGGACATGGCGAAACAAATCCAAACAGCTCTTGGCTAAGTGCCCGTGGTTTCTGGCTTGCTTATTTTCTTGGATTGCTCTTTGTGCATTTGCTGCTCTTATCAGTGCCCTTTGTTACAATTTCTGCCGCCTGGACCGCAACTAATTTGCTGCACAACGTAGTGAGTATACATATATCTGCCACGCAAGTTACGTAGAATTTACTAGAATTACTATTTATTGATTTCTATCAGGCACACTTGTATTTTCTACATATAGTCAAAGGAGCTCCTTGGCTAAGTATCGAGAATGACGCCAGTCGGCAATGGACACACTGGGAGCAAATAGATGATGGCGTTCAATTAACTCCAACTCGAAAATTTCTAACTGCTGTGCCAATTGTTCTGTGCGTCGACATTTATACATGTAATACTGTTTAAATTGCTCATTAATTTATAATTATTGCAGATTCCTTTTGACATGTCTGTACACCCGTAACAGCACTGAGCATTTCATTGCAAATTTTATATCCTTGGTTGTTGTCACGCTGCCAAAGTTGCCGCAGTTCCATGGTGTTCGATTGTTTAATATTAATAAGTACTAAAATGCAGTCGCATATATGAATGTAAATAATTTCTGCCAGGCAGGTGGGCTTATCGTTCAATGAGTTCAATGTATATACTATTTATAGATAATAGACTAAGCAGGTAGCTGGCATTTAACTGGCTGTTGGATTTGTGTAAATATACTTCTGTTTACCACTGACTAATGTGTATCGATAAAAATAATAATGAATTATCGATTCCATAACTGTCATAAAGATAGGTATTTCAAACAAAATGTGTAATTAAAATGCGGACAAATATATAGCTGAGATACTTAATACATCTACTACATTGTACTGTCTCAAATTATATACGGACTGTGTCGTCTGTGCGCTAATCAACTACTACCTGAGCGTGTTCTTTGATCAGTGGTTATACAAGTCTCTCACATGTATGTAGGCACATGCATACAGATAGATCTATAAGCTTATCAGCAACGTCGCTCTTCAACAATATAAAGAATTACATTCGCAAAGCAAAATGCATCAGTTTATGAGGCGCTGGCGATCTGCATCCATTGCCCTTTTTGACTTTGCTGCAATAGCGCGCGACCTTTACGGAATTCAAGTACAATAATAAGAGGTGTGTGTCAGGCTGCCTGGCAGTTATTGTTAAATTATTATTCGAGTAAGAAGCTACTAAATTTGTCAGTTTGACCAGGGCCAACAGCAGAGCTAGGAAGATGTCAGTTACAATCACGGAAGAAATCTTTGGCCTGGCCAAGAATCCCTTCACCAAAGTGCCCGAAATGGTGCGTCGCTTCACCATGACCAATCAGAACAAGATGTCCGTTTCGGTAATACAGCTAGGCGCCATCATCCAGAGCGTGTGCATGCCGGATGCCTATCAGAAGATCGAGGATGTGTGCCTTGGCTTCGACGACATTGCCAGCTATGTGAATACCAAGCACGCGTACATTGGCGGCACTCTGGGCCGTGTGGCGAACCGGGTGGCCAATGGCTCGTACACTGTGGGTGAGACCAAGTACGAGCTAACGAAAAACTTCAAGGACACGTATCAGCTACATGGCGGCTTTATTGGCTTCGATAGCGTAATTTGGGAGGTGGCACGTAAATCAGATATATTGGGTATTACGTTTAAGCATGTATCGCCCGATGGGCACGAGGGCTATCCAGGCAACTTAACTGTCACCGTAACGTATTGGCTGGACAACCAGAATCGATTGGGTATACGCTACGAGGCGTTTACGGACAAAACGACTCCCATCAACCTTTCCAATCATGCCTACTTTAACTTGGCTGGCCACAATGCCGGCTTTAAGGGACTGGCGGAGCATACAGTGGAGATAGCGTCCAAGAGGATTATCGATACGGATGACGACCAAATTCCTACCGGTGAATTCCTGGATGTGGACGATACGGTCTTTGATATGCGTATACCCGTGTTGATTGGGGACCGGCTGAAGCAGTTCGATAATCGTTTAATCAAGGGATACGACAACTGCTTTGTGGTTAACGAGGGCAAGGAGGGCACCAATCTGATTGGCAAGCTGGCCCACCCACCCAGCGGCCGTGCCATGGAGATTTATTCCAATCAGCCGGGTCTGCAGTTCTACACGGCCAACAATTTGCCGGACGAGGAGAAGGGTGATGCTCCCATGATTGGCAAGGAGTGTTCGCATTATCGCAAGCACGGCTCATTTTGCGTGGAAACCGAGAAATTTCCGGATGCTGTCAACCATCAAAATCACGATTTTCCCTCCATATTTCTCAACCCCAACGAAAAGTACCTCCATGAAGTCATATACAAGTTTGTCGTCGAACAGTCCTGGAAATGCTGCTGTAATAAATAGTAATAGATTAATAAAACAGCTTACAGATTTATAGTATTCTATTAGTCTTCTGTTTCTTATAGTCAAGTTTCACTGCTCGTCACATAAATATAAATATAAATAGTAGCCTCTGCACTAATTGAAGTTGATTTTGTGTGAAATCAAATAAAATGATATTTTATATTCGAAACTTAGATCCCATTAGTCTCCAGACACATTTTCTTCCCACTTTAATACACATTTTGGTTCCCATATTAGTTGGAAGATGTCGTTCGATCAAAAGGAAATGTTTGGTCTGCTGTATAAGCTGGCTCGCATGAGCCAGGCGGATACAAGGATCGAGCACGATGAGATGGGCGCAATACGCGTGCCTCTGGATCGCATGTACGGGCCGCAGACAATGCGCTCGGTAATGAACTTTCCTATAGGTGGCGTGGAAGAGCGAATGCCGGTAAGTAGGCGCCCCTGATTGAGTCATCTAATGTAAGCTGCTGACAGCACTTCCCCGCAGCGCCCCATCATCGTAGCCTTGGGCATCATAAAGAAGGCCGCCGCCCAAACGAACAGGCAGAGCGGATTGGAGCCACTCATCTGCGATGCTATTTTGAAGGCTTCCGACGATGTCATCTCCGGCAAGTTATACGATGAGAATCATTTCCCCCTGGTCATTTGGCAGGCGGGCTCTGGCACGTCCACCAACATGAATGTCAACGAGGTGATTTCGAATCGCGCCATCGAAATTATGGGCGGCCAGGTGGGCAGCAAGGAGCCAGTGGATGCCGTGGGACATGTGGATATGTCCCAGAGCTGCTGCGACAACTTCTCCTCAGCCATCAACATTGCCGTGGTCATGCAGCTGAATGAGAAGCTCTTTCCTTCAATCAAAGCGCTCATTGAGGTCCTCGACAATAAGGAGCAGGAGTTCAAGCATATCATCAAGATCGCTCGCACCCATCTCATGGATGCGGAGCCCATGACCCTCGGGCACGTCTTCGGCGGCTACAAGCAAATGATGATCAACAACAGCACCCGACTGGAATCGTGCATGCAGCGCCTCCATGAAATTTCTCTCAATAGCGAGGGCTGTGCGTGTAAATCGTGCAGCGCGAATTTTGGAGCTGGGTGCATCAGTGGCATTGCGGAGCTCACGGGGCTGTCCTTCGTGTCCGCACCCAACATGTTTGAGGCGGTCAGTGCGCGGGACTCTCTGGTCGAGCTGCACGGCGAGCTGAACAGCATTGTGGTCAGTCTTATGAAGATTGTCAATGATGTACGACTCATGGCCTCCGGTCCACGGTGTGGCTTCGGCGAGCTCGTGTTACCGGAGGACGCGCCAGGCAGCTCCTTGATGCCGGACAATGTGAGCACGAGGCAGTGCGAAGTGCTGACCATGATTTGTGCCCAGGTGATGGGCAACCAGGTGGCCGTCTCCATTGGCAGCTCCAATGGCCACTTCGAGCTGAACGCCTTCATGCCGCTGATCGCCTCAAACGTGCTGCGCTCCATCGGTCTATTGAGCGACGGCCTGAGTGGGTTCACCAACAGCTGCCTCAAGGGCATCCGGGCGAATGAGGAGAACATTATGAAGACTCTGAATCAATCTCTTGTAATGGCAGTGCCACTCCAGCCATACGTCGGCCACGACAAGGCCGTCGAAATTGCCAACCTGGCTTATGCCAATGGCACCACCGTCAAGTGGGAGGCCTACAAGAAAGGCCTCTCCAATGCTGACCTAGAAAAGTGGTTGCATGTGGACAAGCTCTTATCATTCAGCTATCAATGAAAAGTGACTAGGACAGTAAGATTATTAAAGATTAATAAAGTATGATCAATACATACAAATTTACATTGAGTGTTACTTTTCTTTTATTGTATTTAGAAATACATATACATACATACATACATATTTACATATCAGGTAGGCTTGGCCCTAAAATTTCAGAATAGAAATTCTAAACAGTCAATACATAGTTAAATGTGTATATACTACAGTTGGGTAGGGATATAAATCAAACAGATGAGTATGTCGCAAAGTCGCATTGAGAGCGACACGCTCGGGACGGTCGAGGTGCCAGCTGATCGTTACTTTGGGGCCCAGACTATGCGCTGTCTGAACAATTTTCCCTTCGGGGATCCCAGTGAACGCATGCCGGTAAGTGTTCGACAGACACATGCGGAAATATGATATTTATGTGGTCGCATGATCTACACAGAAGTCCATTATACAGGCCATGGGCATAGTGAAGAAGGCCGCCGCTGAGGTCAACCTTGAGTATGGGATGGAGAGCTCGATCTGTTCATCCATTTCGACTGTCTGCGATGATCTCATCTCGGGCAAGCTGTACGACGAGGGACACTTTCCACTGCCCATTTGGCAAACGGGATCTGGCACAATGACGAACATGAATGTCAATGAGGTGATTAGCAATCGTTGCATTGAGCTGCAGGGCGGCGAGCTGGGCTCCAAGAAACCGGTGCATCCCAATGATCATGTGAACAAATCTCAGAGCTCAAATGACACCTTTCCAACGGCCATACATGTTGCGGTAGCGCTTCAGCTAGTCAAGGGGCTGAAGCCGGCGATCACCGACCTGCGCGACTCTCTCCAGACCAAGTCCTTGGAATGGAAGGACATTATCAAAGTTGGACGCACTCACACCCAGGACGCGGTGCCGCTGACATTAGGGCAAGAGTTCAGCGGATATACGCAGCAGCTAACCAATGGTCTGGAGCGCATCAATGCGGTCTTGCCCCATGTCTACCAACTGGCTCTGGGAGGCACTGCCGTGGGAACCGGTCTGAATACTTACAAGGGATTCGCCGAGAAGTCCGCCAGACGCATTGCTCAGCTCACATCTCTGCCATTTGTAAGTGCTCCGAACTTCTTCGAGGCCTTGGGCTCCAGGGATGCCATGGTCGAGGTGCATGGCGCATTGAACACCATTGCCGTGAGCCTCATGAAGATTGCCAATGATATACGATTCTTGGCCTCCGGGCCGCGCTGTGGCTTGGGCGAGCTCTTGCTGCCAGAGAACGAGCCGGGCAGCTCGATAATTCCGGGCAAAATAAATCCCACTCAATGCGAGGCGTTGACCATGATCTGCGCCCAGGTAATGGGCAATCAGGTGGCAGTCTCTGTGGGCGGTTCTAATGGGCACTTCGAGCTGAATGCCTTCAAGCCTTTGATAGCGTCCAACGTTCTGCGTTCGATACAGCTGCTAAGTATTTTTCGATCATTCGAGTTTCCATTGAATATTAGACTAAGTGCTTGACTCATTTCTCAGCTGATGGCTGCCACGCGTTCAACCAGAACTGCGTTGTTGGCATGAAGCCGAACAAGGAGAGGATAGAAAAGCTCTTGAACGAATCTCTGATGCTTGTGACCGCACTTAATCCACACATTGGCTATGACAAGGCGGCCACAATAGCCAGAGCAGCTTATAAGAATGGCACCTCTCTGAAGCAGGAGGCCCTCGTTGCTGGCATCTCTGAACAAGACTATGACAAATGGGTGCGTCCGGAAAATATGCTTGGTCCCACCTAAGGCAGTTTGTTAATGTTTTCTTAAGCCGTTAATAAACTCGAATGTATTATGTTATATGCATATCACTTGGAAAAAGGAAAAATGGGTTATATTCAATTGCCCTTCAGATTGCTTAAATTGTAGATATCCATAATAAAATAATATATTCTATACTATACCGATTGATCTCAATCCCTTAATAATATGCAGATATAATTTAGGGGAACTGTGAATATGTAGTAAAGCCTCCCAACGGAGCCACTGAACTCTATACCGTCAAAATATCTAAAGGTCGCTAAATCTTAGTAGATTTTCAAAAAGTTTTTATATTTATAAATTTTGATATATATGTATATATACAATATAATGGTAAAAATAGAACAAAAACGATTTTATTGACTTTTAAAATTACACTTGCTTTCGCCTGATTAACATTTGTACGGATTCCACAAATTTATATGTGCCATTGCATCGACACCACCAAACACCGAACTCAGTTTTCTCACTGAAGGTTCCATTCAGATTGCTAGAATTGTACCGTTTGCCATGGAGATGGATATAAATATTGCTTAATTTCGGGTCTCTACTCACCAATTGGGGTACTCATGTTGCCACCAGCGGTTGTACTCCACGGTGGTCTTGGTATCATACCTGATTGTTCTGAATATATGGTGTTCGTGTGTGCGTAGTCCATCTCCTGCATTGCCCACGTAGTTGCCGAGGGATCTCAGCTTGTAGTCGTCACTTTTGCCCGAGATGGCAAAGTTATCATAATAGGCGTATCGAGTCTCATTATTAGCGAACACTAAGTGGATGTACAGTTCGTGCATGTGACTCTTGGTCATTGCATGTATCTTGTCCAGCCCAATCCAATAATCTTCGTCCAAGTTGCCGAAGCCTTCCACAAAGGAGAACCAGCCTTGATTGAAGTCCACCATCTTATAACCACGACGCTGAATGATCATCCAGCAGGGGCCAGTTGCGACATTTTCGACGGCCACCTTAATTGGACCAATGCGGGGCAGGGAGACGACTTTGATTTCGGATCTGTTCTCTCCCGATAGAATCTCCTGCAGTTCCTTGATCGTACCGCTAACCAAACGATCATTTTGCTTACAGAGCATCAGTGCGGCATCAAACTTCAGCTTGCGTAAACATTATATATAGTTAGATTCGGCTGGACTATCCAATTGCTTACCAGATTTTGAGTTGTCCGTATTCTTTCCGCCTTGGTTGCTAACTCAGTTTCGAGTTGTGTTATTTTCTGATCTCTCTCCTTGACTTTTGCTTCACTATCCTCAATAGTGGCTCTTAGCGAGGAAATCAGTTCATCAGACTTAATAGCTAATTCGTATTGCTGCTTAATTTTGTTCGTCAACTCCTCGATTTGTTTCTCCTTTACCTTAATAATGCCATCTTGTGTATTGATCATTTCATTTTTCTCGCAAATCGTAGACTCGTAGCCAGCGTTTTGACTATCATGCGCTTTCTTCAGTGCGACCATTTTGGAATGTCTTTCAGCGAGTTTCGTCTTCAGGAATGATATCAGTTCATTATTATTCTCATTTGTGTTTTTATAGGTTTCCAAGCATGTTTGAAGAGCCAGGATGACATCATCTTTGATTTTACATTTCTCGCTGTATAGATTTAGCTTCTCCTTGTACACCGACAATTTAATTTTCTTCAGCTGAGAAATGGTACTGCAGGTATTTTCTCGTAATATTTCCCACTCATTCGGCGGCTATACAAGAACAGGGCGCGTATATCATTTAACTAGTCAGCAAGGACCTTTAACAACGCTCACCACAGGCTTCTCTGATGTGTCCTCTTGCTCCAATTGGATAGTAAATATATTTTGAGTATTCATAATGGTAAAAATTTATGGCATTGAAATTGTTGAAGTTCCATTGAATGTTGACTCGTCCACATCTGATTTTTTTGCTTAAATGTCAGACAAATTTTACCACAACAGCAAGCTATGTGATAACAGTTTGAGACATAACTGATATATCCAGAATATATACAGGGCAAACTAGTTTTTTTTAATTCAACTCAAATGTAGAATAAAAAATTGCTATCTATTCATTAGAAATGGTATTTTCCTTATCCCTCTCAATGGGCTCACAGTCCCTTCAGTAAAACTTATTTATTATCAGATTGAATATTAAAAATATTAATATTGCGAAGCGTTCGACCCATCAGTTTGAATTAATAGTTTGAATTAAATTTGTATTAGATAATCGGCCTATCGATGCTTCCAAATTTATGCTGAGAATTAAAATACTAAACTTGCGAGTCGACTGTGCACAGCTGATTCAGATATCGTGTAGTTGCACTTATCGTGCAATCGTTTCCAAGCTGAACGATATTTTGTGATCAATCCGGTTATTTGAAAATGCTCATATTTGAGCAGTTACGAAATTAGATTAATATTAAGCTCAATATTAGAATGCATTTTTTATTTTAGAAAACCTATTTAATAAAAGCATTTATATATAAAGCGTAAGCTTGAATTTGAAAATATTTTGCTTCAATTATGGGGGAGTAATGTTTTTAAGTCATTGTTGATTGAAATTTTATGTAGAGTAAACGTACTTTTTGTATTTTGTAAATTTTATACAAATATCTTTCGTTTTGGCTTCTGTTTAAGTTGGCTGTGCAAAATTCGGATGTTTTGAGCGACAGGCATTACATTTAATTACATTTAAAAATTTTTTTTTTTGACCCATGATATTCGAAATTGTTGTTTTGTCTTAAAACCTCAAATTTATCGCATAAAGATGGTGCGAGTGGTGGAAGATGTATTTGGCATTGCCGTTAATCCCATGACCCAAAAGACCGATCATGTGCGCCGGTTCACACTGTGTACAGAGAAGGGCATGTCCGTGGCCATATTGACATTGGGCGGTATTATACAGAGCGTCAGGGTGCCTGATGCTAATGCAAAGCTGGAGGACGTTTGTCTTGGATATGACGATGTCGCTGGCTATTACCGCAACCAGAAATTCTATGTGGGAGCCATAGTAGGGCGCGTTGCCGACCGTGTGGCACGTGGCCGTTTTAGGCTATGTGACAAGGACATAAGTCTATCTCGAAACCACAAGGATCTTTACCATCTGAATGGTGGCTATGTGGGCTTTGATAGCGTTATTTGGGATGTGGTTGGCATACACAAGGACGGTGTCACATTTCAACACGTCTCACCAGACGGGCACGAGGGCTACCCGGGCGAAGTAACAGTCAACATTAACTACTCACTTAATGAAACTGGTTGTCTAGGGTTGCGAATCGAGGCGCGCGCGAAAGAGACAACATGCATTAACATAGGCCACCACTGCCTTTTTAATCTTGCAGGCCACAGTTCGGGAAGGGACACACTCTACCAACATATGATAATGATCAAGGCGAACAAGATTGTGGACACGGACCTCGAGCAAATACCCACTGGGAAATTAATGCCAACGCGTAATACACCCTACGACTTTTCCACCTTAACAAATTTGGGCAAACGCCTCAATCAGGTTAATCGATGTCCCATTAGCGGGTTTGATAACAACTATTGCGTCGATGTGGATCCGAATCAAGTGAAGCTAGTTGCCCGCGCAGTTCACCCATGCTCGGGTCGTTTTGTGGAAATTCACACCAATCAACCTGGTGTGCATTTCTCTACTGCAAATGGTCTGCCCCAAGAAGACCGCGGCGATGTTCCCAATGTTGGAAAGGGAGGTGCACATTATTCACAGCACAGTGCGTTCTGTTTGCAAACTCAAAAATATCCTGATGCAGTGAACAACCCGGAGTTTCCAACGGTTATTATTAATCCGGGTCAGTTATATGATCATCAAGTAGTTTACAGATTTGGCGCATGCCCAAAACGTGTGTAGAATTGGGTATCTGATAAACAACGTTTAAGATGTGCATACAAATAAATTATGAATAAATTAGTAGTATATCATCATGTGTTTATCGAAATTTATTTTTAATTCGTTAGCGATACATCATTTCGATGAGAATTTATACGGTGCTACCGGACTGTTTATTTCAGTATCGATATATCGATAAGTGCAGTACAGCATAACACGACTATCGTATTCCATCGATTGCCTTAATAACAGTGCAAACACAAAAGAAAAAGTATTTAATTGTTTGTCAACGCTTGTGAGAATAGAGTGTGCCACGTTTAATACAACAATAATAGAAAGGAGCTTCAAGCTGTTTAACTTACCGCAAATCTATAAGCATACTACGGCTGACTCGAGTCGTCCAAGCAGCAGCAACAGCACCAACAGCAGGATGCCAGTACGTAGTGCAAGCACAATTAGAGAATGCACTTAAAATCATTTAAACTTGAATAACAATAATAATTGACATTATTATACATTTTGCGGCTAGGTTCATGAGTTCAAAGTGGAAATGTCGTGTGGCGGATGTGCCGGCGCCGTGGAAAAGGTCTTATCCAAATTAGGTGGTGCGTATACGTACATATGTATGTATGTACATACATATATGTACATATGTATATATTTACATAGGCTAGTTCAGCTTTAGGCTTTGTGCTGTGTGTATGTATGTACACTCATTCCTGTTTAAGTACATATTAATACAAGTGTCGCTTATCAGCGAGACGGCATTTGTTTGGGCGCGTTTATCAACTAAAATGTGATTTTTGCATTTTGCAGATAAGGTGGAAAAAGTGAACATCAATCTGGAAGCAAAAACAGTAACCGTCACCTCAAACTTATCGTCCGACGAACTGTTGGCCCAGCTGCGCAAGAGTGGCAAAACGGTGTCATATGTTGGTGTGAAGAAATGAGATGAGTTTATGAGCAAGTTTCAGAAATACGGCAAACTGAAACTTGAAGTCTAATATAAAATGGAATTCTCAAATGGATTTCGTGATTGCCTTTGCTTTGCCTGTCGATGCCATCGATGTCATAATGTGAGAAACACCCACATCAAATCATTCAAGATTACAGCGTGATGCATCCGTACGACAAGATGAAACCTTACAAATTATACATTAATCATCAATTCATCAAACGAACATGATATAGGCATGGGCAGCTTATCTACAAAGTTTGCTTATGGATTTGCTTTAACTCCAAATTTTAAGTAGTGGAACATTAAAATTGTATCTCAAGAAGATAGTATTTGTATTAAAAGAGTTATACTCCCATAGATGCAGAATTTAAAATTCAAATTTTTAACAACTAAGTAGAAAATGCAATAAATAAATGCTCCAATCAAATATTTAGAAATATTTTAAATATATCCAATACAAGTCAGCTAATAATTAAATACATACAAATTATGCCAATTACCTTCTTATGATATACCAATTTACATACATATATACAAATTTTAACAAATTACAATTTTTAAGATTATAAATCTTATAATAATAAATAAATATGTTGTGCAAATCTTAGTACTATTGAAGTTTTTAATTGAGATTGTAGAACTTTAATCTAATCACGATCACGATCATAATCAATGCCCGTCCAAATACATGGTAACGGAATCTCTTTGTTGGCTTCTGTTGCTAGCTAACCTAATTGTCTTCTATGTCTATGAAGAAGACGAAGAGACGGACTCCATAAATAAGAGGATTCCAGTCGAATGCGGGCACTTAGTCATGCTCGAAGCGCGTTGTCCAAACGAATCAGCGACAAATATCATGCTAATGCCTAACAATGGCAGTAAACAATAGAGGCTTGGGAACGTAATATGTCATAAATCTGGGGAGGGGCGAAGGGCGACCCCAAAGCTATCAAAAATGTATTTTGAAACATGTTCGAGGCGTAACGAAATTATCAATCAAATGCCACATTGGCATGCAAAGAATGCAACACACTCACACACACACACACACTTATACCAATGCACTAATTGAGTTTAGAGTTGGGTCGACAAACGGAACGTTGCGTTTGTTTGGAGGCTTCGGAATTTGATGTTGTCGTCGTCGCCGTCGTTGTCGTCGATGGTGTCGCTACCTGCGTTTTACCTTTTGCTTTGTTGTGGTTGCAGTTTGCGGCTCACGTTGATTTATGCCCCATGCAGCGACACAGGAACGGAACCGCATCGAGACCTAAGCACCTGAAGGCTGCTGCAGCCAGCTATTCTGGCAGAAGGCACAGAGAAAGCAGTCACCACAGCGCGGCTGTCACAATAAACGTCAACGAAGCAGTCACGTCCTTGCCCAATGATTATTCTCAAGTGATGCAAGAGATTTTCAGATTACGGCGCTGCCCCGACGCAATCCCATCCTCGAAGTCAACAGGCAGCAGGCAGCAGGCACCAGGCAGTAGGTAAACGCAAATTATTAGCGCTAATGCCGTTTAAATTGCCTCAGTAAAATAACAGCTGGTGTGCCACTGGTGCCCTACACATTGCCACACAACTAATGAGCAGCATTAACATTCCTCGCAACAATGTTGATTATGAGCTGCGCAGGCTGTGGCAGCAACTGCCTGCCAGCTCGACTGTAATATGCTCTGTCATCTAATCATATGCAATATCATGCCTTTTCAGAGCGATCTGCACTAATTACATATATCAAAGAGCTCTCTTTACACTTTTTGCATCTTTGCTCTCTGATTATGGTCTACGAGATCTGCAATCTAACCATAATTCTACAAGCTGTAAAAGAGAGTACCTATAATTATACTATAATTATTGCATAAAATATATATATTTATATATATTATAAAACTTATTTCATATAAATTTATTATGTATTATAAAACTTATTTATTATAAATTTATTATATATCATAAAACTTATCTATTATAAATTTTGATTCGTGACTTTATAGTATAATAAATTTAACGGGTATTTTTAAATTAATAGTAATGTAGTATATTTTATTCATATATAGTGGTTTATTTGATCTGATCTACCACGAGAACATTATATTTAATTAAAGTTATATTTTAATATTTATAAGACATTTAATTATGAAAATAAAGC